GTAGGATACGGCCTCATTAACTATTCTTTTAATGGATAACCTTGATCACCCAGAAAAACGTAGGGAACATGTTCATTTGTCCCTGGTAATGGTTTAGGAGATGGCCATTAAATGAATTGTTTTCCAAATGGAGGTAGACTTCAGTTTCCATAAACACACCACTATCACTTCGTCTACCATAATCTCCTACATTAATCGTAATAAATTTATACCTAGCATCAGTAATACCTTGAAGATGTAAAGAGAACATTTTTTTATAATTGAAAAACATAGATCCTGAATGAACGGGAAATTTTATGCGAACATTCTTTCCGTCAATACTCCCAATACAATTTGGGAAATCCCACATACGTTCATAATCACTCGCGATTTGTTTAAATCTCTCAATAGTTGGAAGTGGCATGTCTTTTACATTTAATGTCATCCAAATAACTTCACTCGTGTTATACACAATCCTGGCGTAGTCTTAAAAGAGTCATTTTGGTTAAACGGCACGTCATGGCGAGCGCGCGCGGCGTTCGAATATCAGGTCCGCCGACCGCCGCTATCTTATCCAGAATGTCTCTTTTAAGATTTTAAATATTTAAAAAACTAAACGTCAAATAGAAATTCTGCTTCTTGCGTCGTCTTGAACACATAAAATCACACAATTATACGTAAATACTGGAACTACTGGAACAAAATAAATTACCTATTAATAATTTTAAGTAATATTATAATTTTAAGAGTTAATTTATTTTGTTCTGTTATTTCTAAATCAGTTAAAAAACAAATCTTCCTACATTATATTTTTTTAGTATATTTAAATWAATCATTCATAACAAACATCTGATCTTCTAATTTCTTAATTCTTAATTCTAACAGTAATATTTAATAGCAAGAAAAAAAAATTTTAAGTATGTAATAATTATTTATTGCCGTGTTTTGACTTTAATATCCTATAATCAGTGAAAGAAAAAAACATAATTAAACATAGTTCATGTTTAATGTTTAATGCTTTAACAGCATATCAGAAAGAATGAATGGTATCAAAATCTTAACAGTAATATTATTAGTATCATAAATTATTAAAATAGTGGTTTACAATAATAAAAATGTTAATGATGATCAAACTTACCGTTCCTTTTACTTTTTTGGAAAGCTAATGTAGGAAAACTATAAACTTTATTTTTCAAATCTTCATCTTTAATTTTAAATAGATATGTTTTCAATAAACAACTGAACAGTCAAAATCAATCAACAAAAACTGAAAAAATGTTACCTTTTTTTTTATTTAACAATTCGTTTAAGATTTGAGGAATGTTCTTCTGTTCCTGATATCAAAATATTTTTTGAATTTTTATTCCAAATTTTAAAATTTAAATTGTTCTTTTTATATTTTAGATATATTCTATAGGTTAGAGTAGATGCATTTCCGTAAATGCGTTGCATTGGTGGTCCGGGAATATACGGCATTAAGCCGTAATATCCCGGCCACCAATGTGACTGAAGATATGATCATCGAGTATATAGATGCACTGGGCGGATACGCGGATTTCGTCCAGTGCATCTATATCGCATTATGCGGCAAAGAATGCATATCAAAGAAAGGTATTCTTACAATTGTGGACTGGTTGAGAAACCCTAAAAGAATTACAGCTGTAAGTTCATAATTTTTAAATAATTAATGGCCTCATAGTGGTTACTTTTGTATTAATACAAATGTTTTAATACTGTAATGTCAATAAGAGACATACTATTAAACAAAACTCCAAATAACAATTATTCAGAAATTGAATACACTCCAAAAGAATTAATTTGTATGAAATATGCACCTGTCAGGTCCGTTGATGTGGAGAGGTCATTCAGCCGTTACAAAGCAATGTTTAAGACCGAACCGCCGCCACTTTACATTTGAAAATTTCAAGCTATATGTTGTTTCTAATTGTTTCCCACATGAAGACTATGATGATTTAGAATAGATTTTTAATATTTTTTAATTAATCATTTAATAATTCTAAGTTATTTTCAATTTAAATATTTGAAATATTATACATTTATAAATAAATATTTATTAAGTAATAAACAAATATATATTTAAATATTTTTAATTTTATACTCAATTAAAATCCGTTCCCTAGTGATTAGACTAGACTTGATGGGTTGGCTATGCTTTCTTGTCACAGAGAGGTGGAAATTACAACTGATGAAGTAATTGATAAGTTGTGCTTAAAAAACAGAAAACTAGAATTTATTTTATAAATTAATAAAACAGAGTAAAATTAAAATCAATATTATTGTTTTTATTGTTAGCCTTACTTGGAGTACCGAGTAACTAACAAAAGGTTGCATCCAACACTAAAAAAATTTGATATTCCCCTCATCAAGAAAATCCTATATACGCCCCTGATAATAAACAAATGCAATATAAATATGTTATAAATACTAATACAAATAAAGTCAGCTCCGTCACTACATTTCGGGACAAATTGAAATAAGAATTAACAGGACTTTTATTTCTAGAACAAACTTAGATGCATGCCTTCATATGAGTTATTCTGTAAAGTGACCATATATTTTTTTTAATCAAAACAGGACAAAAAAAATCATATTTTTTTATTATAAATAAATATTTTTAACAATAACTCATATAGAAAATATTTTAGTAATTTTGTTTTAGGTAGTTCTGATATCATAGTGATTATAATATATTATATATTAAATTAATCCATGTCAATACGTCACAACAATAGTTATTTTTATATTTTTTTATTGCCTCGTTATCTATCTAGATACCATTCACGGTCAATATTGTCAAATAACTATGCGCACACACACACACACATAAGAAATAAGATAGGTATAACAAAAACGATATTTCATTAATACAGGAACGCGATCTAATCTACGACCAAAATCTTGAATTTTAAACCTAAATTTTTTTTCATGTAGATAATAAATCATTAATAAAAATTCAATGGGGGAGATATGTCACCCTGACCCCACCCCCGTGAGCACGCCACTATATTGATGCACTATGGTTTTCACTTTTTTGGTGTATAGAAAACCACTCAGTGACTTTCTTCCAATTTTGAAACCCAGTATCAATAAACGATTCTTGCCCATGAATTTTTATTTTTGTTTTTTTAGTTTGAATTGCCAAAGCACACGGATAACATAAAACAATTTTTTTTTCTTTCACATAATGTAGCCAACTAAACTAATTGAACCATTTCAACTGACATGATCTTTCATTTGTTTTAGGGAATAAATTGAACAGTAAAATAAATATTATCTTTAGAGGTTATTGTTTCTGTTATGGGTATTGTAGATGAATAAATGGGGATGATTTCTAATGCTTGTGATTGATTKTTTCTGTTTTCTAAATAAAATAAGCAAAAAATATAATTGAAACAGACAGATATTAAAAATATTTTTTTTAATTTGAAACCAAAACGAAATTTTAAAAAAAAGTGAGCAGTGGGGTAATTGTCAAGTGAATAACAGTTGATAACTGATTTGAATTAAATTAAATTTGAATTATTCAATAGGTAGGTAGTAAAAATAATGGTAGTTTACATAAAAACAGTTTACATACCATTGTCTTCAACTGTTGTTTGTTTTGACGGAATCTTGAAAATACCAGGGTCATCTACGTTAATTTCTTTGTCACAATCTAAAGTTGTTATATAGGTACTAAATATTAATATATTATAAAACAGAATAAAGCTTAATAAAATAAAATTGCATACCATTGTCTTCAACTGTTTTGAACATTATAAAAAAAAATTTGTTATTGTAGAAACTCGATGACGCTTCATCCTAATCAAATGAGTCTAAAAATGTAATAGCAAATACATATTCTTTATTAAAATGTAGTTATTTAATAATTAGTATGGCACGTATATTTGAAATTTTAAAATAAATCTTACTTTATTTTTCACAATTATTCTAGTATATCGCACTAGTAATGAACAGAATTGCGTGTAAGACACAGTGAACTCAAAAAGATAACCGAACATTAAAACGTTTTCAAATACAAAAAGGTACAGTAAACGCTAAACTAATGATGTATAATTTGTATAATATTTTAGCACCTCATGCATTATCGAAGTTAGGCAGTTCTCCACTAGCACKAGTGCGCGACGCGATTGATGCGACGGCGCGACGCAACTGAGTCGAAACTGGCGATTTTTATCGCGTCTATTTTTCCAATATTCAGGTCGTTCAGGAATAGAAATTTTCTCACACACGCAACGCGATTATTGTCACGGAGACTGCAGCGATTAGAATTGCACGCGATTGAACATGTTCACATTAGTTTGACAATATAATTATAGAAGTGCGACGCGCATGCCATAGCAGAATTTCTTGGATTTTCCCGGTTATTTTTCCTATCTGTGCTCGGTGCAATGTGTATTCTTAGTATTTTAAATTACTAATAGATATAATACCTATATTATTTGCTGAACAAAATTATAGAATAATATTTAGGTATTGTGGGCTAAATGTAAATATAATTAGGCCATGAAGTCGTGGGGGCTTTGCCCCTACAGTATTTATTTTGTGGGGTCAATTGCCCCCACTACCCCCATTGTTCCGGCGTCCCTGCATAATGTATTTATATTTTATGTTTACATTGTAATTTGTTATCCCCACAAATCACTTGGCTTATGAAACGGTTATCTTGGTTGCAATTACAATATTTCTATGGGATTCCCGAATGTATGA